CCCTAAACCCTAAACACTAAAAATCCTCGAGCGTCTGGGGTGCAGATGTAAGGCCCTGCATGGGTGCCATGGCTGTTGCTGCGTAGGGGGCCATGTAGTCGCTAATGACCTGGCTAGGGTGGGGTTTAGGGGTTTAGGGTTTAGGGTTTAGGGTTAGGGTTGGGGTTTAGGGTGTAGGGGTTTAGGGGTTTAGGGTTTAGGGCTTTAGGGTTCAGGGATTTAGGGTTCTGAGACGTGGGATTTAGGGTTTCAGGATTTAGGGGATTTAGGGTTTAGGGAAAAAGGGTGTCGGGGCTTGGGGCGCAGAGTAAGAGTTTAGGGTTCAGAGCTTTGGGCTTGCAGTTTAGGATGTAGGGACTGAAGGTGAAAGCCTATTCATCATACAAACCCAGACCCCCAAAGGGATCTAAAAATTAGATCCCCTAGAACCATATGGGTAAATATATAGGGCTTATATAGGGGTTATAATGGGTCTATATAGGGGATCTAATTTTGGGGTCCTCCCAGGGGTCTGGGCATTCATCATACAAAGTGGCTTCGGGACATACGACTTGCTGTACATTTTTGCTTTGAGGTGGAAGGTTGTTGGCGATTGTTAGGACGCAGTGCATAGTCACAAGTAGATCATCTACAAATGCTTTTTAAAGCCCTAGCCGCTCAGACTAGGGGTTGGGGTGTGGGTGGGTGAGGTGAGATTGGCTCGATACTGGGAACCATGTGGCTATTGAAAACTCAAACCCTGACTAACCCCAGACCCTGAAGACCTCAAGCCCATAGACTAATGTAGACCCGCGATTAATAAACCACCTCCCCTCAAAAGGGACTAAAATTTGGATCCTAATATTATAAGGACCTTAAAAGGAGGGTCTTGTTAATCATGGGTCTACATTACCCCAAACCCCTAGAATTCTAGCTCCCCCCGCCTGTGGCTGTGCAGTCCCATATGTTTGCGCGGCGCTCAAGTACTGTACTGGCTGTGGTTCCTGGCTTGTGGCTACTGCTTACCCAGACCCCTGGGAGGATCTAAAAATTAGATCCCCTATATAGACCCATTATAACCCCTATATAATCCGTATACACTTTGCCATATGGTTCTAGGGATCTAATTTTTAGATCCCTTCGGGGGTCTGGGTAGCCCCTAGACGCAGGGTAGGGCTTGGGCTTCACGGTCTAGACCCTGCGACCAAGACCGGCGGAAAGGCAGGGGCTTAAGGCGTGGGGCTTGTTTATGATTGAGAAACTGATCTTATTGTTCTTCTTCTGGTTGTTAGCTATACTATTAGTATTGTTACGAGTTTATTACTTCAGGGCCAAGGTTTTTCAGCTGAGACTTTAGGGCTTGGAGGCGTAGTATAAGGTTTTCTTTTTTTGTGGACCTTTCTCCAAGGCTCATGTCCTATAGGGTTTAAGGCGGAAGGTCTGACTTAGGCCCTACCCTTAGGGTCCCGGGTCCCCAAGATTTAGTTTAGGGTTTAGGCTTTAGGGTTTAGGGATCGAGAGGTACCCAAACCCATGCAGATACGAGCATGTGGGACCTTAAACTCCTTGTTTGCTTACTTGGAGCCTCTGGGCAGGAGTGTGGTACGATGCCTTGATTTCTTCTCTCAAGGTTTTGATTGAGCTGCGGAATCCGGCTCTGACCCTGAACCCCAACGCCTAAACCACCTGCGTCAGAAATTCTGAATAACAAGGAAATTTTGATAACCCCAACCTCCAAAATTAGCACCCTATAGCCGTCATGTGACTGCTATAGGGTCCTAATTTTGGGGTTGGGATTGCCGAAGCACCTTTATCACTGAATGGTGACCGAGTCTCAGATGTCAAGTATGAGATCTGAGGAGCTGCGCCAGGAACAGATGAGAACGCCGGATTGGCAGAGAAGTATTGCGCTGAATCCTAAGCAGAGAGAGGATAATCTGGGTTGCTGTTGAAGAACTTAAATTCAATTTCTATACTGAGGAAACCCTAGTATTTACCATGTATCCATAATATTGTAACTTAATGCAAGCTCCTTAACAGCAACACAGTAATGGTAGTGGGGAGGTTGAAGGTTGAGCCAACAGCTTGGAGCGGAAAAGGTTTAGGGTTTAGGGTTTAGCCATGCAGAAGACAGAATGGACTAGAGAAGCAGGTGCTTGTTTCTCAGTAATAATCAGGCGAGGGCATGGGGGAATGGACTCATGGGGAATACATAGTATAGGAAATTATACAAGGACTGGTATAAGGATCCATTCCCCCCGCCCCCTAAGCCCTCAACCCTGTACGCTTTAAACTCTGCCAGACTTCTCATACACATGAAGAATCCCCCCCACCTCCAGAAGAGGATTCGGCTTTGGTAGAACCCCAGGTTCCGAAGGACTCAATCCATAGGCCCAAGAAAATCCAGGTTACACCTATTCGGCTACTCAGCGAACGCAAACCACAAACACTAAAAGAACAACAAACCATAAAGCCTAAAAGAAAACGCGAACCCTAAACCCTAAAGAAAACCCAAACCATACACGCAAATAGCAAACCCAAACCATAAACCCTAAAAGAATACCAAACCATAAATCCTAACAGAACCCATACCATAAACCCTATAAGAAAGCCCAAAGCCCTTCATACTCCACCCTCATCCCTTCATCTCCAACCCCCAAGCACCCCGGACAACAAACCTACAGGTAGCCCCACAAAGTTGGAACATGCATGAAGGACTATTCGCGCTGGGCTTCTCTACAGTTTACTCTTTTCCTAGGGTATTAGGAACATGATGTTCAACTTCTTGGCAGTTGCCTTTAATTACCCCTTAACACTAAACTCTAAACTGGGTCCCAGGATCAGGCACCGGCATGGAGGTCATCCCCGTCGTTGGTGCTGGCATGCCGCCGGTCATGGTCGCTGGAATTGTCTGCTGACCAACCTAAGCCGCTGGGGGGTGAACCCTAAAGGTCCAAGGACCCGAATGATAGGGTTTTAGGGCCCAAATACCATTCATATTATAGTGAAAAACCGTTTTTGGGGGTCCTTAGACCCTTAAGGGAAGACTACATATAGGGTTTAGGGATTGGGGTTTAGGGGCTGTAAAGCGCCTAGAGTATAGGGCTTTTGGTTGCAGGGTCTATAAGGCTTACCGTTTCAGGTATGGGGTTCATTGTTGCGGCCGAGGGCTTGAGGCTTATAGGGCCCGTAGGGATTGGGTATGGAAACAACCAACTAGCAAGATTGAAGCGTGCACCTTCCAAAGAAGAGCATCACCTATGCATTCACATCCCAAGATTTTTGCAGCTCTTGTTATGAAGCTCACCAGGAAGATTCCATGATACTTAGAAACCCCAGCCAGCTGCGTCGAGAGTTCCTTGTCTTTAGGTTCCGGGTGTAAAGCATCAAGCATCTAGTATGGCAAGGACCGCGGATACCTATTGCAAGAACGATATTATTTTGCAGTGGCGTTTGAGAAGGTCTTCACCCTCTTTGAAGAAGCAGCATTCCAATTAAATCATGCCCTCCCAGTTTAACAGGGGCTTGCAGGGCCTACTTGTCTGGCAGGGCTGTGAAGGAACATGGCTGCCAACCTGCGTACTCTCGGTGAAAGAAATTGATCTACGGTCCACACGGTGCTGAGAAGGTTTATTTCTGATAAGAATTTCTGTGTGGTCTGAATCTTTGCTCCTTGTTAGGCATGCCAGGGACACTGCTTTAATCAATGTCCAATGCGGTACCGACCGTCCCCGCTAAGTCATGTCTTGTTGCAATGGGCAGGGGCCCCGCACCTGCCCCCTAAACTCAAGACCCTAAACCCTAAGCCACAAACTCTAACCCTAAATCCTAAACCCTAAATGCTAAATCCCAAACCCTAAATCCAAAATCCTTAACCTTGAATCCTAAACTCCAAACCTCAAGCCCTGGGGGGGCGCATCCTTACGAAGCGGTGCCCACGATGCTTTATGCAAACATTGGTTGCTGTAAAGCGGGGTTTACGGTCCAAAAATTGGGGTCCTAATTTCGTACCTAGACATTAAGTGCCGTAAAATCGTTTAAACCCCAAAGAGGGCCTTGATTGTTGAAATTCACCCATATACAGGTAATTACATTACCCTCTCCCATGGAAATCAAAGGCCCTGGCATATGTTGGCCATAGTCTAAACTCCTAGTATCCTCCTGAATAACCCCTATCTATATACAGTAGTCCCCCAAATTATCCCTTATATAACCCCCCTTTAAGGAGTTTAGACTATAGGTTATGTAGGGGTTCATTAAGAGGATCCGAATGGCCACATTGAGGATTCTAAAGGG